TATATATAAGCTTTACTGGTTTTGTTTCTCTAGAGAACCCAGTCTAACACACTCAGGAAGACAGGATAAGAGGTGAGGCTGAATTTAATTAGATAGTCTGCCAGGTGGTTCTCTACTCCCCATGGACAGTCATGTGATTTGTCTTTAATCAGCCCATTTCAGTGCTCATGCCCAAAACCATTAGTGGTGCTTCTTACCCAAGAGATTTCACAGGGTATCCTCCTGTGTTTAGGAATTGAGGCTTAGGTGGAAGAGGGGGTCTTTTTGGTTTCTGTGCAGCACTCAGGGGACTCTGTAGTCCCTCACCACTTCTTTCTTTTTGGGCTGCAAGGGATAACCTCTTGTAGTCTTCCCGAGCTTGTTTAGCCAAGGACCTTCGCTTTTCATCAGCTGCTTTGGATTTTCTCACTAGAAAAACAATGGGAGAAAAGGTCCTCATCAGTCCACTCCACAGAGGTGGTTAGAAGGTTCATCAGTGCACAAGGTGAACAGAGCAGGCTCTTGGTAGAGCTCTGCTTATAATAACAAACAATCACAATCAACACATATTATTCAGACAGTTATAGTTTGCCCATTCACAACTGCCCAAACTTCTCTGTAGAACTCCTGTTTCTATGGGAGTTTGGAGGTTTTCTAAGAAAGAGAAAGAAGCAGGAGAAGGAGGAAGAGGAGATAAGATGGAAGTGGAGAACAATGTGTGCAAGAATTTTTTGCAGTTGGCAAGTGTAAGTGTTGAGTTGGCCTCAGGGTGAGGATTCAAGGGCATTTTAACAAGAGATATCGTTACATCCCTCACGTGGTGATGCTTGGGATGCTGTGTGCCCTAAGTAACTATCAAGCATCAAGCACTACCCAGTGGCTCACGGCTGTGGATAGGGCAAAAGAGCAGCGAGGCTCTCCATAGTTTATGTTCAAACCCTACCATGAGCTGAACCAAATGTGAATGAGCCTGCCAGACAAAAAACAACAAAAGTGATCTTTAACCCACAGATAGTTGTGGAACATTGTTGTTATGTGCCGTCAAGTCAGACCCGACTCATAGCGACCCCTCCCCAGGTTTCTGAGGCAGTATCACTACAGAAGTAGATTGCCCAAACTTCCTTCCAAGGAGTAGCCAGCTGGTGGGTTTAACTGACAGACTTCTGAGTAGCAGTCAAGTGCCTTAGGCACTACGCTACCAGAGCTCCCTGTGGAACATTACTGCACATATAAAAGTACCTAAGCCTCCCCTTTAATCAGGGCTTCCAACTGGTTCATTCCGTTTTGAACCCTGCTGAGAAGTTTGCATTTCTATCCCAGATACACTGAATCAGAATCTATGTTTTAAAAAGATCTATAAGGACATATAAGGATCACCTGGTATTCTTTATAAAAACTGGTCAAATCTTGTTATGTTTGACTTCAAAAAGATGCCAAAAATATTCCATTATACTAGAATTTCACTGCATTGAGAAGAGGAAGACCTATGATTGGATATTGCAAATATTTTACTTCACAAAAATGATAATTTTAATAGTATCTGTTGTAATGGGATTGCTGATCAGTTTAGGATTCTCAATTTCCTACAAAAATTGCCAATGTTGACCTCTTGCCCCAAGCGGCCCCAACGGATGATCTTGCAGTTAAGGCTTCAGTGTCCTGATTGACACAGAAATCCTGAGCCTATTTCAAATGTGAATTCTTCTAGCATCCTCTGCTCTGTCTTCATTTACATTGACTTATTCTCCTATGAGGTTTTTTTTTTTCTGACAGTGCTAACTCAATAGTGAGTCAGGGGTGGTTCACAGCCCTGGGATGAATGCTAACATATCCAGCCTGTTGTTACTTTGTTTTTCTGATTCTAAACTTAAAATCTGTTCACTGTGGAAAATTTAGAAAACAGAAAAACAACAAGAAGAAAAATAGATAATTTCTAATCCCACTTCTCTCAGAAAACTAATGTTAACATGTTAGTATATAGCCTTCTAAGGACACTATTGGGGAGCTCTGGTAGCATAGTGGCTAAGGCACTTGACTGCTAACCAGAAGGCTGGCGGTTCAAACCCACCAGCCACTCCTCGGAAGAAAGATGGGGCAATCTACTTCCGTAGTGATACTGCCTTGGAAACCCAAGGAGGGGTCACTATGAGTCGGATCCAACTCGACGGCACATAACAACAACAACAACAACAAGGAGACTATTGGTGCAGTGGTTAAGCACTTGGCTGTTAACTGAAAGAAAGGTTGGTGGTTCAATCCATCAGCTGCTCTGTGGGATAAAGAAGCAGTTGTCTGCTTCCATAAAGATTACAGTCTTAGAAACCCTACAGAGACATTCTTCTCTGTCCTGTAGGGTCACTAAGAATTGAAAATTGACTTGACAGCAATGGGTTATATAGCCTTCTAGTCCTTTTGTCTTAGTGTATGTAAATATTTAACATAGGGATAATTTTCATACACACACACACACACACACACACACATATATATATATATATATATATATATATATATATATATATATATATATATATATATATAAAATTTCCCTCAAGCTGAAAAGATACCACAAATGTATTCCCAGGTCATTAAACACTCTTCTAAAACATGATTTTTCATAGTTTGATACCACTCTATCTATAGATGTAATTTTGACAGTAAAAGGATGAATTAAGAACCATTTTGCTAATCAACAAGTTAGCTTGTAAGCATTTGATTAGTAATTTAGTGTTACGACACCTCTCTACAACCCACCATTAAGTGCTTCCTAAACCAACCAAACAAAACTCACTGCCAACGAGTCAATTTGACTCATAGTGACCCCTCCTTGGGTTTCTGAGGCGCTATTAACTACAGAAGTAGGTTGCCCAACCTTACTTCCAAGGAGTGGCTGGTGGCTTTGAACTGCCAGCCTTTTGGTTAGCAGTCAAATGCCTTAGGCACTACGCCATCAGAACTCCCAGACTCTTCATTTCATTAGGTTCAAAGGAGAAGAAGAGGCAACTGAGGCCCTCCATGTACTCACAAGATGCCTGCCATTCCGAGTCTTCTTTCCAGCTCTTATAAATCTGCTTGGTTCTCTCTTCATCAATTTGTTTTATTTCTTCATCTTCCTTTTTCTTCATGGATTCTTTCTTCTGTTTTAAAAAACCGACACAAACACTGGTGAGTGAATCAGGCAGTCTTCCAAGAGGACAAGGGCACTCTGGTTACTATTTAACTCCTGTGTTGTGGGAAAAGCATGGGTTTTGGAATCAGCAATACCTGAAGCCAGAGCTAATCCTACCTAGCTGCAGAGCTCCGAGGGGGAGTTTACTGAACCTCTCTCAGGATGTTTCCCCCTATGTAAAATTAGGAAATTACAAACTATTGCATTGGGTTATAGTGAGTATCAGACAAGTAGCTAGCATGGTGTGAGTATATAATACATAACAATGTGAACTGCATCTCTACATGTCCTCAAACAATGTGTCTGAAAATGCAGTACAAACACATAATTTTAGGTGGCTCCAAAATGATTAATTTTTGTCTTAATAAAACATATAAAGAAAACATATAAAAACATTGCTTGGTAAAGAGAAAATATAAAATAAGAAATATGAATCTTCCTTAAAAAGGAACTCATTTTTTTTTTATTGTGATTTGGGTGAAGATTTACAGAGCAAATTCACTCTCCATACAGCAGTTCACGTATACTTTGTCTCATGTCATTGACCATAGTTTACCACAATGCAACAGCTCCCCTCCTACTTCCTCCCCATAGTTACCTCTTCCCAGTGTTCATCCCTCCATACACTCCTGCACCCTGAGCTGTCTCCCTGTGTATAAGCAGCCCTTCTTTCTCCCATGATTGAAAAAGGAACTCATTTTTAACTAAAGAGAAAATAACAAACCAAATCACTTAGCCCTAAAAAGTACTTTATTTAGACACAGCCTGCTGAGTGCTCATCAGAAAACAGAATTTACAACTCAGTGAACTAAATAAAAGCTTGGTTAGCTAACTAATGAAACAAGCTCAAAGAGGCAAGACAGACTGACCATACTTTGCTCGCTATGTCACAAATGATAGGCTTTTTCTGATTCTAAAAAGATAAAAACTTTCTTGCTGTCAAATTATTTCTATGCAATTAAAATATAAATGTTGATGCTATTAACTTTGTTTTGGGTCATTGTGGAAAGTTGGAAATCTCAGTAATGTAGTTGATAGTGATACTTCATAACTTCAGATGGAACTAAACTCTTGGAACATTTATTGTTGTACTCTTTTTTTACGCTATTTTCCTTCCTAGAGCTAAGCCACTTTGTATGCCAATACGATAAAAACCACAGAGTAGCTTCTGGTGTTTGAAACGACTGTCAAGATTTGCCATCTTGCTAAAGCTGTTCACAAGCCTGAAACACATAAAAGCACTGCTAATAGTTTCTAAATTTAAACAGAAGAACAAAACAACAATTTAAAAGTAGAGCTTTGTTCCTCTTCAACATGCTCATGTATTTATTTTAATATAAAAATATAATTATGACAGTGAATTAGGATAGCATGATTATTATTATTATTGTGCTTAGGATAAGCAAAAAGTTTTAAAAAGTGATAAGAAAAACAGTAAATAAATAATAATACAGGTGGTGTTCGGTTGAGAAGATGATACTGAAGTGTCTGAAAATGCTGTATTTAGTAAACCACATTCCTTTCTAATCTGCAGTGTAATTATGTGTGGGCAAAATGGGAAGGGAGACAAAATGAGTGAGTTTCACAGAGTAATAGCAGAGGAGACCTGGTCCTGCTGCTGTATTTGTTCAAAACACAGGAAACTCAGCACTTATCCTGAGTTTCACTGTCTAAGAATTCATCCAGAAAAGTTACTTTCAGCAAAACCTTTAAAAGCTTATCTTTCTTTTTCTGTTCAGAAAGCCACTGTGGTCTCTTTAGGAGTGTTTTGCTAGAAGCATGTAAGTTAAGGACTCAGGACTGTAGCCAAGCATGGCACAGCAGGTGAAGGCTGTGGACAGAAGAGGCAGGAGAGCTGAGGCTAGAGACTGGTTCAGGTGCACAGAGTTCAAGATGTGGAGGCCGAGAAGGTCAGTATGATCTACAAGGACCAGAAAATGAGGCCAAGTCCACGTCATTCAGGATACCTCTTGTTCTGGCTAACTGATAGAAATACTTCACAGAGTCACTTCCCACTAGTTTCCTTATTATTGTTAGCTGCCATGGAGTTGCCCCTGATTCATGGCAGCCCCCTACGTAGCTGACCGTTGTGACCCATAGCATTTTCATTGGCTGATTTTCAGGAGTATATCACTAGGTCTTTCCTTCAGCTTCACTGAACCCTGTTGAGCACTACAGCAACACACAAGCCTCCACTGACATATAGGTGCTGGCCCAGGTCTCCTGGGTAGAAGGTGATAAAATTCTACCACTGAACCACGACTGCTCCCAGTTGACTCATTCCAAAAACAAACTCACTGCCGTCAAGTCGGATCTGACTCAGCAACTCCTCCTTGAATTTTACAAGGCAGTATCACTATGGAAGTAGATTGCCCAACCTTCCTTCCGAGGAGTGGCTGGTGGATTTGAACTGCCAGGCTCTGGTTAGCAGTCAAGTGCCTTAGGCACTACACCACTAGACCCTCACAATTTCCCCACTGAGTAGGAGGGTTCCATGTCATTACCTTCATTTTACAAGGAAGGTTGGTAAGTGAGTCTGTCATTGACTCTCTCAAATATAGATTTAATTTCTTAAGTTAGAGAAAAGGGAATAGAATGGTACATAGGCCTGGATATTCTTGTGAAAGAGTATGACAACTATGAAAGTCTGACTGTGTCACGTCTACAATGTTTGAGAACCACTGATCTAGTCTAACCCCTATACTTCCAAGACAAGAAACCTCAGGCCCAGTCTAAATACTGAAATGCCTCACACTTCCTATGTTTTCTCTTTTCCATCCTTACTCTCAAGATAATCTCATGCAGGCTCATCACTTTGAATAATATGTGTGTTCCAAATCCCTTACAATGGCCTACGTTAATTATCTGTCATCCTCTCCCTTCTCATTCACTTCATTACAGTTATACTGACTGCTCCGCTGTCTCCTGACCATGTCAAGTAAATTCCTGCCTCTGTGCCTTTATACTTGCTATTCCCTCTGCTTGGAACATACTTTTTCCAAGAAATTCACATGGCTTTCACCTCTATTCTGATCCTTCATTTCTCAGTTCCAATATCACCTTCTCAAAGAGGTTTTCTCTAACCAACTATATAAAATAACAATTCCCATCCATCCCAGCCTTCCTCAGCTCCTTTATCTTGCATTTTATTTTCCTCTACAGCTCTTACAGTCACTTGACTTCATATATATGTCTACCATCTGTCTTCCCCATCCAGAATAAAAGCTTCATGATGATAGGGTTTCTGTCTATTTTGCTCATAGATGTATCTCCAAAGTCTGTAACAGGGTGTAACACGTATGTGCCTGGTATATATAGGAGCTCTAGTAGTGTAGTGCCCAAGGCATTTGACTGCTTACCAGAAAGCTGGTGGTTCAAACCAACCAGCCACTCTTCTGAAGGAAGAATGGGCAATCTACTTCCAGAGAGATATCTATCTCCTCAGAAACCCAAGGACAAGTTGCTCTAAGTAGGGCTTGTACATAGTTGATAAATGCTGGATGAATGTCTAAATGGATCCTTTGTGTTTCTCAAGTGTCATCATATTAAAATGTGATCCATGCAACACTTCTGAAAATTTCTTCTAGATCTTTTATTGGTGCTATTTTAGAAATAAATATGTTTATATATATGGTATGCATATGGGAACTACAATTCCAAAACTTCATCATGATTTCTTAAAATCAAGTTCATACATGTCCCTACAGATGAGTTGGGGAATGAAGTGCACTGCCCACAGGAACACAGAGCAGCCTGTCCCACAGCCACTTTCAGGCCGTCAGCCACTAGAACCCTTCCCTTCATAGTCTAGTATCTAGAATCTCACCTTGCCTCTCTTGGGACTTCTTAAAGATCAAATCCTACTACAGTTTCCAAGTCCTAGTTTTTGACTCATTTATTTTGAGCAATATATGCTAAAATAAGGAAGATCAAAGAATCAATACATTTGAATTATGGTGTTTGAAGAATATTGAATATACCATAGACTACCAGGAAAATGAACAAATCTGTCTTGGAGGAAGCACAGCCGGAATGCTCCTTGGAAGTGAGGATTGTGAGACTTTGTCTCACATATTTTGGACATGTTATCAGGAGGGACCAGTCCCTGGAGAGGGGCATCATGCTTGGTAAAGTAGAAGGTCAGCAAAAAATGGGAAGAACCTCGACAAGATGGATTGACACAGTGGTTACAATAATGGGCTCAAACACAGCAACAACTGTGAGGATGGTGCAGGACCAGGCAGCGTTTCACTCTGTTATACTTCGGGTTGCTATGAGTTGGAACCAACATGATAGCATCTAACAACAATAAACATGATAAAATAACATTCTAGCACAAAGGAGGAAGTAGGGCTTGGCCTGTAGGGAGAATCTCGCTGTCTGGATGGTGTAAGAGAGAACCGAGTACCTTAGAGGAGTTACTGGCACAGTGGAAATGGAGGGCACAGGAAGCTCTCCTTGTAAAAGGGCAGGCTCATAGAAACAGTGAACACATAAATAGTTTAATTCACTATTTCCTGCCAAATTTAATGCTCTCTGAAACAACTCTTCCCTCAGTGTTTGCACTAGGTCAGGATATCATCTCTATTTTAGATCTTCACTGTGGTGCTTAGCAGACGTGTCTTGCATCTGTTCCTTTAGTGATACTGTCCCAACTTCAGAAAAATGGGTGAAGATGAATTGCTGTGTTTGTAGCTTTTAAGACAGATTTCTCATTCTAGTTGCCTAATTTCATTTCTACATGAGACTAATTTACCAATTTGTGAAACATTAATGGAAATGGTGATGCATTAATCCCCCTGAATGCAGAATGTAAGTCTTTTACCTGGTGAATTCCATATGCCTTCATACGATTGATAGAATCTGCCAACATTTGTTGAACATTTCTTGAAGAACTGGAGGGTGACTGAAAATTAAATGAAACACATTTTTTAAAATTACCATTTAGAGTGGCAATGCAATTTCAGAAGATAATCTGTTAATGCCTCCTTCAGTTCAACTTTTTTTAATGCTGCCTCCACCCCCACATGCTTCTCAGAACTGGATCCACCAGGGCTTTCCACCAGCACCTGAGTTCCTCAACAAATTCAGACTGAGGCAGTAGGTGTGTAAGCCTATGCCTCCTCCCTCAGTCCAAACCCACTGCTTGCTCACAGTGACCCTATAGGACAGGGTAGAACTGGCCATAGGGTTTCTGAGGCTGTAAATCTTTATGGAAACAGACTTCCTCATCTTTCTTCCATGGAGCTTCTGGTGATTTTGAACCACTGACCTTTTGGTTAGCAGCTGAGCATTTTAACCACTGCACCACCAGGCTCTCCTCCCTCCATAGATTTAGAAATTAATTATTGCCAATAGTCAGGAGCTGGTCATGGAGTTAGTCATGACAACTGGGTTTGTGTGTCTTGTTGCCATCTGGTACTTGGGCCCCTGAGGTGACATTACTCCCTAATTTAAATTCTCTTCTTCCTCTCTTAACCCCTGCTCTGCCCCACCTGGTTTCAGCTGGAACCAGAGCGATGCCTTAGGCTCTGACATTTAACTGTGCATAATGTCTTGCTTTCCCCTAGGATTGGAGACATGCCTGTAATTCCAATCTGGTGCCTGGGAGCCCTGCCCATTTCCCTACCTGGGTTATAGTCTTCCCCTCCTTCCCTGCTGGCTCCTGTTACCCAGCCTAGCATTTACGTTTCTATAGCTCTAGATAGATTTCTGAGCAAGAAACTCCTGCCAAATGGGTTCCCAGATCCATTGCCTGGATTCTCTGGTGTCATTCCTACCTGCCAAGTGCCAACCCCTCTGGCACTGTGAGTGAGCTGGTATATCATACCAGGTACCTCTTAAGACCAGGTCAGTTACACAGGCTTCTGCCACCCTTTCCCAGACCTGAGTATAGAGCCTGAGCTGAGTCCCAGTCTTCTCTCCTAGCTCAAATGCCTACATACAACCCAAAGTCCTATGCCCCACAGGCCTTGTGCCTGAGGATTGATTCCTGAATTTTGAAATAGATGAGAAATTGTCAACAAAAAAATCAAACCCACTGCCATTGAGTCGGATCTGACTCATAGCGAGCCCTCCTTGGGTTTCTGAGGCAGTATCACTATGGAAGTAGATTGCCCAACCTTCCTTCTGAGTATCAGCAAAAGGCTGGTACAAACATTCCCTGTGTGCACAAAGGGTATTGCAGGATCATAACAATGCCATTAATTAATCACTGTGGCAGAGACTGTGGGCTTCCTCCGTTTTGTCCTCCTTTCACAGTAGATGTGCACAGGGCTACTCAGGTACACTGCATTTCCCAGCTGCCCTAGCAGTTATCCCCAGTATAATGCAGGTAATTACTGGCATTTGCCACTTATAGTCCAGCCCTTAAAAGCTCTTTCACGCACTCCTGTATCTCTCTTCCCCTTTCCTTTGGCTGGAGTGGTGAGAGTAGCCACACAACTATTGAAGACAAGGCCATCAAGAGCCTGTATCACTGAATGACTGCGTGGACCTGAGCCCACAGGAACCAACACCCATCGTGGACTGTTAGAGAAAAATTAGCTTCTATTGTGCTTTGGCCATTTTTGCCCTATGGGTCTTATTGTTATAAAAGTTTAGTCTACCTTAACTAGTAAAACTGGCCACAATAATTTTTGGTGGCAGGTTTCAAGCTGTCTGTGGAGAATTTTTGCTAACCATGGGAGTGCTATTAATACAAATTCCACTAATGGCTTCTAGTCACTGAATGCCTATTACGGTCAGACACTGTGTTACTTAATATATATTATTTTTACTTCCTACAACATCTCTGGGAGCTCTGGTAGCATAGTGGCTAAGACACTTGCCTGCTAACCAGATGGCTGGCGGTTCAAACCCACCAGCCACTCCTCAGAAGGAAGGTTGGGCAATCCTACTTCTGTAGTGATACTGCCTCAGAAACCCAAGGAAGGGTCGCTATGAGTCGGGGCCGACTCGACGGCACATAACAACAACAACATCTCTAGGAGCTCTGGTGGTATAGTGCCTAAGCCATTTAACTGCTAACCAGAAGGGTGGCGATTCAAACCCACCAGCCACTCCTCAGAAGGAAGGTTGGGCACTCTACTTCTGTTGTTCGGAAACAACATGTCTAATAGGTGGACTATACAATGCCCATACTTTAAAGGAAACTGAATCTCAGAGAAGTTGTGCCACTTGCTTTGGGTCACACAGCTATTTTGTGCCACAGTTTATGCTTTTTCAACTATATCATCATCGTAGTGACAAGAAAATGAATTGTAAGTCAAAAGAATTCTTATGCTTATTACTTGGCAAAGTAATGAATCCTACAGGTTTGCAAATGCCTCTTAGCATGTCCTATCTCAAATTTTTCTCGTAAGAATACTTACCTTCTCTGCCTCTAAAACAGTAACCAGTTTCTTCTATTTATGAACAGGTTAGAAATGGTCTAAAAGTTTTGTGTAACAAAAGTCCAAGATAACTCTGAAGAGCTTGAGCTTGCAGTTCCTGAATATCTTTCTACTATAAGGAATCTGAGCTTTAAAACTAGGCTCATTCTTCCTTTCCTCACTAATACAAGGACTCCAGGGCATCACCTTGCAAAGAAGACTGTTTCTTCTGTTAAAAATTAGGAGGCAGGTAGCCATTCTCCCTTGATACAGTCCTCAAGTATTGTAGCTAATGCTCTGCCTATGCTTTCTGCATTCCTAGTCTTACCACTAATTTGTTTCAGAAGGACCTGGACCTATGACACCTATGACCGGCAGACCTTTGCACCAAGGTTTTGTCAGCAGCACTTTCACGGTGCTCAGCCTTTAAGACTTAAACAAACTCTTTGTTATTTGCTGAATCAGCATTAGGGTATAATATATCTGACACTGCTCTTCTAATCCATATACTCAAGTGCTGTCCACTTTTATCCCATGTTTTATCTCCTTGCCAATTACTGGAAGCTCTGGTGGCATAGTGCCTAAGGCACTTGACTGCTAACCAGAAGGCTGGCCGTTCAAACCGACCAGCCACTCCTCGGAAGGAAGATTGGGCAATCTACTTCTGTAGAAATATGATCTTGGAAACCCAAGTAGGAGTCACTAGGAGTCGGATCTAACTCTATGGCAGTGAGATTTTTTTTTGTTTTGTTTTTTGTTTTTGCACCAATTACTGCTATCTGCATGGGTACACCTTAAATATATCACACAGGTTATTCTTTGTCTCTCAGAATTATTCCTGTTATTGAACAATTCACTCAATGCATGTACACTCCATTTATTGTATTTTTTTCAATTATAATTTTTTTCTATCATCAAATGCCTTTTCTTACTAGCACTTTTGACATGCTTAGTGCTTTTGTACTTATCAGTTATGATGAGGTTGTTAATATTTTAAATAACTCAAAATGAAGCATAGACACATGGTCCAGACAATGTGAAGTACACGATGCTGGGGACGCCAGTGGCCATTGTGATGGTGGCCAGAGTTGACATGGTGTCTTTGGCTTTACAGGGTTTCTTTTTATTTGTTTGTTTTTTAATATACCAAAGTTCAAAAGATGAATAATGTTCTTGAATAGCAGGGTTTTAATATAAATAATTGATTAGTTTACTACCCCTGAGATCAATACTTCTATTCAAATATATTATTTAACATATATTGTAAACTCTGCTTGGGAGGGAAGGACACAGGGAAGAGGTAACTATGGGGAGGAGATGGGAGGGAAGCTGCTGCATTATGGGAAATTGCAGTCAGTATCATGAGGCAAAGTGTATGTGAGCTGCTGTATGGAAAATGAATTCACTCTGTAAACTTTCACCCAAAGTACAATATATATATATATATATTGTAAACTCTGAATCTATTCACACATACCAAGAACCAGGTCTACATTTAAAAAATTCTGCTTTTCAAAATTAACCAAGATTTGCAGGTTCATTTTGCTACGCTTGCACATTCTACAAATCCAGGACATATACCAAGTGCAATGTAAGAGAATGAAAATGGCTCAGTCCAAGGGATTTTCTTTATCAAAAAATAGCCACGTTGATGGGCTTAACAGTGATGATTTATAATGCCAATATCAGAGACAATCTCAGAAATAATGTTGCCTCTGAGCATTCCCAGAATGAAGATGAAGAGCCTTCTTGGAGAAGGTATCATCCCCTCTGAAGCCTCCAATATGATGCTGTGTTCCAGGGAATATACTCTTTAATCCTACTTGTAACAAGAGAGGAAAACTACCCACCTATTTGTATAATGATTGCTTATCCAAAGCACTTTCAAGTACAATACATCATTTATGTTCATGTCAAATTTAAGAGGGAGTCATAGTCAATCATATCCCCTTATCAATGAGGTAAGGTCATCTGCTAATGGATAGGAGAGCAGGGACTCTCCTTGACTCTCTGTGACTTCTTCATGTCCAAAGCTTGCCCCTTCAGTGAGGCCTCCCAGAGAGAACGTATGTCTGCTTCCAAGCATAGAAGCCTCTTAGTAATCCCCCATCTGCTGTATCACACAGACTTCTTCAGCTATTGCAACTCTAAGGGCAGAGTTTCATATATGCTTGATATTTCATTCTGCTTCAAATTTGCTTCACTTAAACATGAAAGCTACCAAGAAATATTTATGCAGATGCCCCAAAAAAACAAAATGAAACTTTGCTAGCTAATAACATCCAAAGCTAGTTCTGCAGACAGCAAGTTGAAATGATTCTCTCCTATCATGCAGATCCCAATTAGATCCTGGGAGTCTAGCCCATCCAGATGAGTCAAATCAGAGTTTACAAAAGATAATTTCTGTTAAACTTAGAAATACAGTAGTTCAGATCCACAGAAGCAACTAGCTGTAAGAAGATGCTGCTAGCAACATCATCAACATGGTTCCAAATTGTATTTCCCCAGAGAGTATGTGCCATATTATATTCAT